ATCGAAATATGCCACGAGTACATGGTGATACATTTGTACATATGAATAAAATTGACGCTTATGTTGAATATGATGAACCATTAGTAGAACTAGATTATTCAAAAGAAATTACTGATATTGAAAGAACAATTGGAAAAAAAGTAGCTGACTTAATTGATGATAGAAGTACACGTGAGTATTGGAAGAATTCATAAATATTCTATGAATGTTTTGACTTTGTTAAGCACATATTTCGAGTAAAAACTCTAAAGGATTTAGGTTTGACTAAAATATCGAATTTTTTTATAGTGACAACAGATTTTCAGACAGTTGGTATTCCTATATTTCGGTCTGAAACTTCGTTCATATAGAGAACTCCCCTAGAATAGCATCTAGTAGAAAATTCAGCAGTTTTGAATTAAGTGTCTTCGAGATGTGTAGCTGTCAAAAAAATGCATAGTCAAACACTATCCATAGAAAAGGGTCTATATCTTGCCAATCGCACATTCCAGATGAAAATTCAACAACGTGAGTTTTCCGAAAACATACGTTCTTACCAGAGCCTATGGATAAAAGACATATTAAACAATCGATAGTTTAGTCGAATTTCAATAGGAACCCAAATTGTCATTAGAATTTTTATCAAAGCACTATTTAGTTTCTATAAGTGAAAATCATTAAAATCGATATGAGATATTTGAAGAGGTTCCCTCGTAAGAATCTTTCTTTGTGGAAATGATAGAAAAATTGTGATTTCCTTTTTATCCCAAGTATCATCTCTTACTCTCATTACTTATTCAGATGACTATGAAACTCATATTGTAAACTTTCTATTTCTAGTTCAAATGGGTATTGGTACAATTCCAGATTGTGTATTACAATCTCTTGAAAATCATAAAGATTTAAGTATAGCATCAGAAATGATATCTGATGGTGTTATGACATTAATGGAAAAAGGTGTTGTTACAAATCGCTATAAAACTTTTCATCCTGGAATAACAACATGTACATTTATAATGGGTACAAGAAAACTTTATGATTTTGTTAATGATAATCCAAATATATTGGCTTTTGATGTTGGGATAACAAATGATCCATCACAAATTCGTCGAAATCCCAAAATGTGTGCTATCAATGCTGCTCTTGAAGTTGATCTTACTGGACAAGTTTGTGCAGAATCATTAGGGTCAGTACATTATTCAGGTGTTGGAGGACAAGTTGATTTTATGCGTGGTGCTGCACTAAGTGAAAAAGGAAAACCAATCCTTGTTTTACCATCACAAACATCAAATGGAATTTCACGTATTGTTAGCACAGTAAGTTCACATATTGAATCTTAGTTTTTATTTCGCTTTCATATATTTAGTTAAAAGAAGGTGCTGGTGTAACTACAACACGAGCTCATGTTCATTATATAGTAACTGAATATGGTGCCGCAAATTTATTTGGTAAAAATTATCAACAACGAGCTAAAGCATTAATTGATATAGCTCATCCTAATCATCGTGAAGCATTAGAACGTGCTGCTTATAAACGTTTCAAAAATCTTTATTGAATTTTTTAAAAATAATCGAAAAGAATGGCTAATATCGGTATTAGAATAAAAGAAAGATGAGAGTAACACGAATATGATGAAAGCAGTAGCAACAAATCGTTTGTGGATTTCAGCAATATGGAAAGAGAAGACTTCATAACGTCTGTTTTCTACAATAATTTTGTATCATGAAGTCAAATTCTGAAGCAATAATCTCTGTAAAAAATTTAAAAACTACATAAGCAGAGTTGTCGTTTTGATAAAATATTCATTTTGCCATTTTCTGAAGACGAACTTACCCCTCTTTGCAGCTCTCTTGGAGAATGGCCATCAGAAAAAATTAAAACTTTCAGACTGGATAGATTCTCGCATCGTCGTCGTCTACAGTGAAACAGTCGCTAGCAGGTAGAGTTGAACATTTGACTACGCTGTTCCAAGTATTGCTACCTCTCTATTCTTTACATGTCATCATTTAGAATATTTTTTATCAATACACTTAGATTGTGTTAACTCATCTCTTCGAAAATGTCATGGAGGTTTTGCTATCAACGTTTGTTAATGTTATTTTCTTATCTTATTGTCATTTGAGGAAAAAAAATCTGTTTTTTTTATTGATTTCATAAGATGTTACTCTGATTGCATTTCCTTCACTTTCTTATGTATTGGTGTTGCGATTATACTTTATATGGTACTTTGTCGTATTGATATAATTCAAGGACAGTGTACATATATTTTTTCTTCGATTAGACAGCTTTTTAAATTAATTTTGAAAAGGTTATAAACGACTATTATTAATTATTCAGGTCATGTTGCCAACATCATGACAATGAAGTTCTAGAGAGTTTAGTTTCCAATTTCGATTTGTTACATTCTTATAAAATACTTATGGTTACTTTATTTTTATCAGTAAACGAACAATTATGCAAGTATTAGTACAATAAATATATATTCGATTATAGAAATTTCTAAAAGTCTTCTAACTGAAGACTGTTTTTTGATGTAGAACTCCTACTTTCTAAAATTTGGATTTTGCAATTCTGTTCTCACATCATTTATATATATCTTTGTTTGTTTCTCGTTTTTACTGTAGCTGACAATATCATTTTTCTAACTCGTTATGCATATGTAAACTATTAGGTTCTCTTTTATTCTTCAATGACTTCTAATCTCCAGGAAACACGATTCAGCAATATTTTAACAAATATTTTTTCACATGAATAAAGTCATTTATGATGAGTTTCACTTCGTTCACTGCAGGTAGTTCTTCTAATATGTGGCGAATGGTTTAGCGTGAAAAGTTTGACAACATCATATTGAAATTCTGTTCTATGATTTTAATTTCTTTCAATTAAAACATGTAAACTGCTTTAGAATGCAACCATTACGGAGTAACATACGACGATAAACGATTGTTTAATTCATACGAACCGATTTAACCATAAAATAATTTCAAAAAAAAATCTTTGTCTACCTTTGATTTCTCTTTAAAACACTTCAAGTTTTATTGATATTTACATGTCATTTTAAAATTTATTCTATATCATCGGTACTGATCCTTGACAAAGAACGATGAAAATATCTTTGCTTTCGATGAGTATCAAAGACAAGGTGTGCACGATGTATTCGATGAATAACATAAAAAAAGAGAGAGGAAAAAAATGTTTTGAGTAGAAAGAAAAAAAGTGTCGAGTCAAAAAGTTAACGTCTTCTATTAAGTTAGATACACGTGGTTATATGCTAGGTTCGCATTTACAAATCTTTTTCGTAGTTATATCCATCCATAAAATAAAGTATGTCAGTTTTTTTTTCCTTCAATTCTATATATTGATAAGAGAGAAAAATATTCTTCTCTTATTCAAAGTAAAAAATAATCAACCAAAGACATGGCGACGATGCTTATTGACAAAGGCTTATCATTTATTAAATCAGGTTCACGAGTTTTCGTTCATGGTAAGTAAACCAAAAGAACTAAGCGCCTTTTTTTTTCTTGATATTCGTATATATTATGCTCATAAGAAGAAAATTTTAGACTTGGAGCATAACTGATATTTATGTCAATGTGTTCATCCACCAAAGTTCAGTGAAAAACAATGAATATTATGAGTATTACATACGAGATGCAATTGAGACATATGAATAATATAAATCGCTATTTATCATTATCTGTTTAATATAAATTGGAAATTACTGTTAAAATGTTCGAAAGGAAAAAAAATCGAAGAATTAAATCTCAAAGGTACACCATATAAGAGCAACTTGAATAGCTGACTAGAGGTGGAATTTATTATTTGTAAGTTTGTTGACGAACGATAAAAATTAAGAGTATAGATATATATACTATCAACTTTCATACACTATTCTGCCGCTTTACCTAGAAATCAATATTGACACAGAAGAAAAGTGAAACGAAATAGGGTGACGGTGACCTGATGCCTTACATTGAGACTCATCCGCATCCTCACTTCACATACATAAAAGGCCAAATAGAACGACGAACAATAAAATGGAAAAATATTTGAAAGAATGACTAATCAGTTAACAACGTTCGTTTGGACTGTTTCAATTAATAATGTATGATTTTCAGCAGTAATTTAATGGTATTGTTTGTTTTATAAACCGCTCGATATTTGATATTTTACTTTGTGAGATGTTGCGGTTCAGTCTTATTCCTTTTAAATAATGAACAGTAACTTTGAATTAGGTCAGGGACACTATCACAGGTAATATAAGCAATAAGTCTAAGACAATCGCATACTCCGACGCCTGCCTGAGAAGAATGTGGACATGGTTCTTGTCTTAATCAGAGGCCTCGCATCAATCGTCGATGGCATGCATATATTCACAAGTATTCACATTTCTAAAGAATTTTTGTGTCATTTTCTAATTACTTTTTGATGAGATCATTCTGTTAGTCTGTGCGTGTTTGACAAAGAAATAAAGGTCGCTAAACATTGATATTAAAAATGCATACAACTAGTATTCTGTAATTTCTTTTATTGTTCTCAGGTTGCAGTGGTACACCTCAATACCTCAATCGTCTACTGGCCAAGCGTGCTAATGAACTTCGACGTGTTGAAATTATAGGCAGTCTGCCTCTTGATAATACATTTACTGATCCAAACTTATCAGAAAGCTTCTTTGTCTATAGTCTCTTTGCATCAGCTTTTGTTCGACCGCGTATTGCTAATGGTAAAGCATCATATATTCCAATATTTCTCAGTGAAACGCCTCGTCTTTTTGATGAAAATATTCTTCCACTTGATGCTGTTCTTATTCAAGTATCACCACCTGATAAACATGGTTATTGTTCACTTGGTATTGCGGTTGAAGTAACGAGAGCTGCTGTACGAAATGCAAAAAAAATCTTTGCTCAAATAAATCGAAATATGCCACGAGTACATGGTGATACATTTGTACATATGAATAAAATTGACGCTTATGTTGAATATGATGAACCATTAGTAGAACTAGATTATTCAAAAGAAATTACTGATATTGAAAGAACAATTGGAAAACGAGTAGCTGACTTAATTGATGATAGAAGTACAAGTAAGTAATGAAAGAATCTATAAATATTTCTTTATGTTTTTTAGAAAGGAGTTTTATCAAAGACCTTCAGATCATAATAATGCATCGCAGAAGATTTTTCGATCAGCATCTATTTACATTCTTCAAGCACTTAGAATAGACAGATGAGGAAGAAGAAAAATAAGACTAGAAATGTATCACCGTATAATCAATCGAAAAGTATGGCACCAGGAGAGAATGATATCTTTATCGTTGATTCTTCGGAGAATTATCATAGTTCTACGAAACTATTAGGTTTCATATCTATGGGTTCTTGGCCAACGCTAATGAATTACGCTATTATAAAACTCATGCAGGCTATTGTATCATCTACTTCTTGTTTACCTCTCACTTTCTCTAGTCTTACTAGTATCTCTACAAGACTGAACAAATGGCAGTCGCTTTTTTACTCACAAAAAATGTTTCAATTGTGGAATTATACTCTAATACTGCTATAGAAGTGAATGTCGTAGAATAAAAGGATAAGTTACTCTTGATATTCATAACTGTCAATAACATTCTTAGTTGGTGTAACCTAAGATACATATGTCTATGAAGAGTAATAATATATTCTTCATCGTTTCCCGAAATAATGCTCTCTATCAAAATATAATGAAGAAACAAGATGTTGCCCTGGTCGTCATTGTTTAAAGGCTTATTGAAGTCATGAATCAAAAATATTCATGAAGATCTTGACTTCATTAAGTACTTATTTGAACTAAACAATTTTCAAAGCTTTCAATTGTGATGATGCAGATTTAAAGCTAAGAGGAGGACTATCATCGAGTTCGAAGAACAATTTCAATCTTTCTTCATGTAGATGATAGCGAAATCTTGATTTGATTTTTTTTCTCAAATAGTATTACGCACTCTTATTACTTTATTCACATAAGTATGAAATTCATATGCAAACTGTTCCATTCTAGTACAAATGGGTATTGGTGCAATTCCAGATTGTGTATTACAATCGCTTGAAAATCATAAAGATTTAAGTATAGCATCAGAAATGATATCTGATGGTGTTATGACATTAATGGAAAAAGGTGTTGTTACAAATCGTTATAAAACTTTTCATCCTGGTGTAACAACGTGTACATTTATAATGGGTACAAGAAAACTATATGATTTTGTTAACGATAATTCAAATGTACGTGTCCTTGATATTGGAATAACCAATGACCCATCACAAATTCGTCGAAATCCCAAAATGTGTGCTATTAATGCTGCTCTTGAAGTTGATCTTGCTGGACAAGTTTGTGCAGAATCATTAGGCTCAGTACATTATTCAGGTGTTGGAGGACAAATCGATTTTATGCGAGGTGCTGCATTAAGTGAAAAAGGAAAAGCAATCCTTGTTTTACCATCACAAACATCAAATGGAATTTCACGTATTGTTAGCACAGTAAGTTTCTATATTGAATCTTAGTTTTTATTTCACTTTCATATATTTAGTTAAAAGAAGGTGCTGGTGTAACTACAACTCGAGCTCATGTTCGTTATGTAGTAACTGAATATGGTGTAGCAAATTTATTTGGTAAAAACTATCAACAACGAGCTAAAGCATTAATTGATATAGCTCATCCTAATCATCGTGAAGCATTAGAACGTGCTGCTCATAAACGTTTCAAATCGCTTCATTAACTTTTTTAAAGAAATCGAAAAGAAAGTCTAATATTAGCTCCAAAAGAAAAAAAATATTGGAACGTGCTTCTTTTCTCTGCGACGATATAGGTTAGGAAATCACTCTTTGAAGCAATAATCTCTGTAAATAGTTTTAATAAATACATGAACATGATCCGTTGCTCTGGTAAAGTTATGACTTTGCCATGTGCTTTAAGGCAATCTATCTCAAGGTTGTGGTGTTGTTTAGGTGTGCCCTAACATTTGTATTGGTATATGTGACGAGTTGTTGTTAGGGATAGGTGAAGGACGCTGTGATTTTTCTTCACAGTAAGGACGTAAGGAAGTATGTGCCTATTGGTGTGACTGCAGTTGAACGTCCGTGAGACTTCATAGATGGTCTCAATAGTGAGTAGCTATGCGTTTGTTTCGTCGGTGAGTATGATCTACCTTAGAGTGCGTGTGGGTATACGTGTTGATATGTATCGGGTGTGTGTATGTTGAAGTGGCCTTAGAGCAGGTCTGTAAGCTTTCTCACAACCAACATTCACGCTGTTAAGCATACTCAGCCACTTTTGCCATGCATACGGCAATCCCGCACCCGCAATAACACTCTTAGCTATAAAACCATAACAAAAGCATCATGTATAAATGAGGATGTGGGCATAGCTCAGAAAGCTAGCATGGATGCGGTTATTCCTGGAATGCAGCGTATGGTTAAGTAGCTAATGTGACTGTGAAAGTGTGCGTGATAATAGAACTTTGTTTGTCGATGTGTGATGAGCACTGAAGTGGGACTGGACTGCAGATGTTGCTAATGTTAGTTGAAATCAGTGTACATTTTTCTGTTCCATGCAGGCGTTTGTAGTGGTGTAACTGAGAAGGTAAGCATATTGTGAACCCAAGTTTGGACTGTGAGTGGTTCGAATCGGTGTGGGTGTAAGTTGCTGTAGAAGAGAGTATGAGTGTATAGGTATGCTTGCTAGTGTGCGTTAGATTTTTTCATAGGATGTAACTAAGCCTACGCTAGCATTTATGTTCTTTGTGGGGGGGGGGGGGGGTGTAGGATGTTACATGTACGTATGTGTGATATGCGGCTCAGAATGGATAGCCAGAAGACAAAACCGATTCTCGAGGTTTGAGCCTTCATCATAGCTAATATTGAAGCTGCTATGATGATGTGTTTAAGTGCATCTTCGATGCTGCTTTATAATGAGCGTTTGCTAAGCAGCAGATACAACAAAGTGCGTAAAATAAGTGAATATCATTAATAGAACCATTTAAGTAAAATGTATATTTTAAGTAGAGGATCTACTTATATTCATTAGTTATTATGTATTTTACTAAGTATTAAAGGCGATTTGACCTTCTTCAAGTTCTTTAGGCTATGATAAGATCAATAACTTACATTTATAGTATTGTAAAAAAGAAATAAACAGTGGTCAGTAATGCAGTTTATTTCCTCTAATTTTCCCAGAACTTTAATTGAAGTTTTAATTTGTTATTTAGTAGAGCATTTCGTCATTGATCTTTAGTCAATGTGTAAAGATGCGCGTTTACACCCTGCTTGAGGTGTAGTATCCCTAACGTAACCTTTTATCAAAATTTATTGATAATTTTCAAACAGTGATTACTCATGTTTCTAGTTGATCAAGTTTCGAATACATCAATAAACAGCAAACAACACTCAACTTCAGATTTTCTATTGATCATTTCATGTTAAAATCGGTTATTTGACTCTTTCTCAGTAGTAGAGATATGACAAGAAAGTTTTATGTCATCTTGGAGTACAAACCACTATAGTAAAACTCTCATGCCATATCTTTATTCATGATGAAACTGTTCGAAGCGATCCACCGTTTTGGTCCCATATTTCGTCCATAAGTAGGGGATCTGAAGACTGAAAAAAGCCTAAGAAGATATGAACCCATGTTGCGATATGGTGGAGATATTCAAGTTTTACTCAAATTCCTCTGGAGGACCCAGATTTTCAAGCAAAATTGTATTTTTGAATTTTGACTTGAAGCTTTGCCTACATAAAGCCCTCGATTAGACTAGATTGCGAAAAAAGTTTCAAAATTTTTCGACATAGAATCACCAAGATATTGATTTTCCAAAAGACAGGCGCTTTTCCATAGATATTGTATAATAGAGTATTTTAAAAATTCATATCTCGGTGACACTATCGAAAAATTCTGAAATTTTTTCGCAATCTAGTCTAATCGAGGGCTTTATGTGGGCAAAGTTTCAAGTCAAAATTCAAAAATACAATTTTGCTGAAAAACGTGGGTCCTCCAGAGGAACTTGAGTAAAACTTGAATATCTCTGCCACATCACAAAATGGGTCCATATCCTCTTAGACTTTTTCAGTCACAGATCCCATACTTATAGGCAAAATATGGAACCAAAATCGATCGATCACTTCGAACAGTTTTCTTGTGGGTTGTATGCATCGTCCCGTTACTAAGTTTTTTATAATCTCCTATCAAAAGGGTTTTTCCAACTAATACACTACTAAAACACATATCTTGTCTAAAAATGTTTGACATACACTATATGTGTGCTCTGCTATAACCAAATATTGGACTTTTCCTTAAAAGTCTTTAGATTTTACGTTTAGATAATTCACACATTAAGATGAATTTGGAATGGAAATTATAAAATGAGGTCTAATATGCTTCCTTATTCTTTTTTTTGTCTGCTAGAATCCAAAATTTAGAAATAATTTATTGATAATAGCCTGTTTCAGGCACTTGAAGAGTAATTAATTCATGGCAGATTTATCCAATACATAGTTAGTAACTGTATCAAGTATATGAACAAAACGTTGTTGTCTCATTTTTGCTAGAAAACATTATAATACAACAATTACTTTTTATTGTGTTAATTTGCAGTTTTTGAAAGTCGAAAACTTCATTTTATAGGAATCTGTCATGTAAGGAGGGCTACGTTAGCGCAGATAATTAGCATGAAGTGTCAGCTATACGTAAACAGAGTATTAAATTAATAGCGACAATCATTAAAATGATTGATTCTAGTTCCTTTTTCTGTCTACTGTGCGACTGCCTCTATGTTAGTGTGTGGAAGTGGCTTTCGGTGTGGCTATGCCATGAGAACTGTCTGGGATGTGACTGAGCATGTGGTGCGACTGTAAAACAGGGTCTACCTGTGCTTTGGCTGCGGCTTTAATGTATTGATGAGTATGGAGCTATGTGTTTTTCGGATGTGCAGGTGGACTTCCTTGTTACGTGGCTTTTGGATATGAATGAGTTGGAGAAGATTGTCGTCAGCAACATTGCTGGTCTGATGTTATGCATTTCAGAATGAAATGAAAGAGAGCTACATTTACATAGTTTTGGGAGGATGCTAAATGCGACGAAGTTTTCTGTGCATGTGCAGAAGGTAAGAAAACTAGGTCAACTGCGCTGCTACATGTTTACATTTGCGATACATGATAGTTTTCAATCTATGCTTCGCATGAAAATAATATCACTTCTTGAATAATTTTACCTTTTTCTCGTTACAAATCAAGTTATTTGCTAGGAGATATTATTTAATGAAGATCAACTTTGAAGAGTCGATTTTGCTGTAATTTTCATCCCACTTATAAAATGATAGAGGTAACGTAATAGCTTTGCCGATTAGTTATAAGTGTACTTCGCAAATGGGAAAAATATTGCGCAAAAAAAGAGCTTTGACACAATCGAGAGAGGAATGTTGCGATAGGTACTTTAGAGTTATTGAGTGTGGAATTTAAAAAACCCAACATGTGAAGTTTGTGCAGTTATTGACAGAAAAAATAATCTCTATACGATGCGAGTATGTTGCTGCCAACCAAAGTCGATACACCAATTTTGTTTTTGTAAGAAGATGCTCACCTGGCTTTCAAGTAAGAGGGTAAATATGATTTATTGAAACAGCAAGTATTACAGAACGAAAAAGAATAACGATTTTCCGTTTGCCTGTGGCGTGAAACAAAAAACAAAAAATAATGAAACTTTCGAAGAGCTTCAAAAGAGTAGAGGTGAGAGAGAGAATTTTTTTCGTATGTGACTGTTGTAAATAAAGGCATATTGAATAGTAAAGCAAATTCATTCGAATTACTAACACAGAAAAAGAATAGCGAAGTACGCAGGTGCACACAAACATACATTTATACATACATACAAAACCAAGTAAAAATGGGATCTTTCATAGCTCACGTCAATAAAAATGATGATAATTTGAAAACTTACAGCATCTTTTGGTTAGATGCTTTAGTGAACAATAAAGAGAACTTGGGTGCTCAAAAACGTTTACGAAGTATTTGTAATCGATTGTGCACCTTTGTCGATCCTGACGAATTTATGGCACATGTAAGTTGTATTTGTCAAGGAGATCTCGCTGTCTTAATTGTAAGTGGTCAACTAGGCCGCTTTGTTGTGCCCGAAATGCAAAAATTACCTCAGGTGTCGTCAATATATGTATATTGTTTCGATAAAGAGGCAAGCGAACGATGGAGCCAGTCATACAGTAAGGTATGTACATGTTCTTAAATAAAACTATTTCATACATTGTTAGTTTATTGTAGGTAAAAGCTGTTTGCAATAATTTGGATGATCTGATCAATATTATCCAAATGGATCAAAAGCGTCAAGTTCGAATGGAAGAACCACTTGCAATTAGTATTTTGGACCGATCTTCCATGGAGTTGAACGGAGAATTCCTGCATTCTCAATTGTTGATCAGTGTTTTGATTAGAATGAAGCCAAATAAACGAGACAAGGAAGAATTAATTAAATTATTAAAAAATGAATACAAAGATAATGATGCTGAACTGAAGCTGATAAATGAATTCAATCATAAATATCAATCGGTGAAGGCCATATGGTGGTATACACGTGAGTCATGTGTTTATCGATTATTGAATAAGGCGTTACGCATACAAAACGTAGACATCTTGTTTCTTTTTCGTAATGTTATTCGAGATATTTTTGAGCAACTACGTGCTCATCAATGTCAGGAACATATAACAGTTTATCGTGGTCAAGTTATATCAAAAGAGGAATTAAATCAATTACGTGAATCCATGGGAAACATCATTTCTATGAATTCATTTTTATCGACAACATTGAATCGTCGTGTAGCAGTAGAATTTCTTCAAGAAAGTATAAGTTCTTCATCAGTATCTGATGATGTAGTTCCAATACTATTTGAAATTGAAGCTGATCCTTGCGTCTTGGACGACACAAGTCAAGATAACCGGCGGCCATTTGCAAAAGTCGCTGGACTGAGCGCTTATGAAGATGAATCGGAAGTTCTCTTCATGCTCGGTTCAATATTTTGTTTGAATGAGATCTATTATGAACAATCCTCAGCTGATTCGACAATGTCAATCATTCGAATGACATTATGTGGTGATTATGACAACGATCTCAAACAACTTTATGATCACATGAAGAAAGAATACCACAGAGAGGAAGCGAATCTTCTTTCTCTTGGTGATACGATGTTCGACATGGGAAAATTCGATCTGGCCGAAAAGTACTATTGTCGATCGCTGAGAGAACTTCCATCAGATGATTCGTCACTTTCTGAGTTGTATCATAATCTTGGTATGGTTGCTGATGCGAAAGGTGAGTATGATACAAGTCTCAAGTGGTACCGACAATCACTCAAGATTCTTCTCAGAACTCACCCATGCAATCATGTGGAAATTGGTATCACACATAACAACATCGGTGAAGCTCATAGAAAGAAAGGTGATCATCGTCTAGCACTCGAATCGTATGATCAGGCCGTGTCACTTTTCGAACAAGTAAACGATGCGAATCACCCACATGTGGCCATGTTTTACAACAACATTGGCATTATCTACGATGAGCAGCAGAAGTCTTTGGATGCGCTCGACTTCTATGAGAAGTCACTTGCTATTAAAATGAAACATCTGCCACCGGATCATCCTAGCTTGGGTGCATCGTACAACAATATTGGCACTGTTCATTATTGTCTCAGTCATTATGATCTCGCATTGGAGCATTACAATCGATCACTTGAAATCAGATTGAAGTCACTTCCCGCTCAACATCCCGATATTGCAGTGACGTATGAGAACATGGGCATTGTGCATGAACACAAAGGTGAATTGGAACAAGCATTGATATTGTTAAAGAAGGCCAAGGCAATTTACGTCGCATCATTGTCACCTAATCATTCCAATGTACTTAAGATCAAGGATGGTATTCGAAGAATAGAAGATAAATTGAAGACAATATGAGGATATATGAACTCCCAGATAAACAAGTAGTACTATCTTGTTGAATGTAACTGAGTAGTAAATGATTGTTGAAAAATAAATAAAATTATAAATACTTGGTCTAATTTCTAAGAGCATTCCAAAAAAGCAAAAAAGAATGGGAAAGCATGCAAAAAATCATTGCTCTTCTAAGAGAAAAACAAGCCATTTGATGATGACTAAATTAAAGAGCAGGACGGGGAAAGGGAAGCCCGCACTTTTGAAAATCAATCAGGAACAGGGAGAGAGAAATAAAATGGTGTTTTGAAATCAAACGATATCAGCTTGAAAAAAGTCATTGAAGCAAAAAACCTTCAAAAGTTCATCCTGAATTGATTTCAATAGCAGCAATGAGTAATTTAATAGCTCTATTATGACTTGCTGCATTACAAAACCTTGTCTCCAGCTACCAAGCAAACATTACCGATTAAAAATATTTAAAAACCAAAAGAAAAGTTCCACTCAGTGACTCTATTTACTCTACAGAATAATTACAATTAACATTAACTACAACACTAATAACAATGTTGCACGTGTAAAATATATTTGTGGCAGGTCATTTGTAAATCTAGTTGAGATTTCAAAAAAATATTGTTTGCTTTCGTAATAATAAGAAGAATAAATCGTTCATGTATTTGTTCAGCAAATAACCTATAAAATATAATCATTATATAAAATAATAAAACCTTGTTCAATAATGTGACGAAGATAGACAAAAATGGTATCATGATTCATAAGTAATAAATTAGTTACTTTATTTTTCTCTATACAATTCGATAAGTAACTCAATAATTTATTTTGTTGTATGTACATCTGTATAATAAACAATTGGTTCAATTTTAAGAGAATGCCAATAGTTTTTCCTATTATCAAAAAAATATTTTTTTTAAACTCTATTTTAGTGAAAGCTACTTGATGAACAGTGGATGAATGGACAGATCACAATAATATGTATAAAGCTAATCTATTTGTAGAATTCACACAGTCAGCTGTTCCCAAAAAAACACTGTTTATTTTAACTGCTACTAATTGCAATTGATTATACGTAGTGCTTCAATATAAAATATCTTTGTTATACATATTGAGTAAAAGAAAACACATCTATTGAATACTAAACGATTCGCTACGATATTCATGACAAATTAGGCAGAAAAAGGTTACATCATACTGTGTAGAAAAATTAATTTCATCACAAATATTTCACGTGAAAAAAAGACTAACGAGTACACTTAGAAAGTCATTCTAAATTAGTGTTTTTTCATGTATGTTTCAAACAATCATCGACAGAAACATTCCATAACAAAAAAACCAACTTGATATAGCTACTGCTCATCCAGTTAATAACTACCGATAACCATATCACATGAATATCATAATCACCATTAATTACTATAGGACACGTCCTGAAAAAAAAAAGAAAAGAGTAGTCAAAACAACATTAATAAATAAGAAGAACTACTTTTATTCTAAAGACAACGCACACCTTACATTCAGTCTACACGGGGCAAATATTCTTCTTCGATAAGTGAAATATTATGAAAAAGTAATGTCTAAGAAGAAACATCAATAATAATCTCAAGAGTTTCGAATAAAAAAAGAAATAACAAAATGACAACCATTAGCAATCATGATTGGTCATATTTATGCCATACATAACTATTTCTTACATTTTAAATCATCCATATATAGAGAAGTTCGAGACATTTACGCAGCACATATTGTTTTTATAGTTGTTTACTTCTTCTTTGAGCAAACCAAAGCTATGAGAATGCATTCATTCTTGGATCACTTGTTGAAAGATGAGATGGATTGTGTGAAGTGAATTCGAGTTTATAAATTTTGACTATACTTTGTCAATGGGCAACACCAAAAAAAGTGAACGCGAAATTTCGAATGGTAATTCGCTGACTTGAAATTCATCAGTTCGAAATTTCGATCTCATTTTAAAAGATCCAGGAATGGATGTATTCTTATAGTTTTATTTTTTTGAAAGAAGAAGTAAACAACTATAAAACCACTATGTGCTGTGTAAATATCTCAAACTTCTCTGTATATAGATGTGCTGCATTCTATTCTCGTATGTCAAAATAATATAAAAAACTCATTTTGCTAGGAGCGAAACTTTTGTCACACACTAATTATTAATTTTACAGATTTTTATATTTTCAGTATACTGTAGCTTTTTTTTGCAATTACACTCGCTCGTATCTAAGAGTTTATTTCAATTGCAATGAAGAATAAAATAAGAATATCTAACCTTGAGTGAAGATCTATTTCACGAAGTCTGTTTGGTAGATTGCTGTTCCTTCTAAATCTCATCGATTTATAATGTCTTACTAATTACTCCTGGTGAAAAATGTGTTACTGCCACTGTTGCATTTTATGTTGATGTTGTATGAGGAGTATTTATTTATTTAAGCTCATGTTCCATTAATGTTATTTCTAAAGTCTATAACATGAACACACTCATGTGATGAAAATACGAGTGAAACTAAAAATAAAAAAAGAAACGTTTTATCTGTCGCACTCTTACCTTCGTTTCTTTTTTTTTTCTTTCTTATCACTCTTTTTTTTTTGGTATTAATAGTCAATGCATACAAAGTACTATATTGACTGCTCTTTATTTCTTTTTTCCTTTCTATGCTGCATGACAACATGCACAGAACGAGAAAATAATAAAAAAATGTGAAAGAAAAAAAGTATGTCATTGTTAGTCATGCACACATTCGATACAAAACATGACACAACGAACTACACGGTCTGCTACAATTTCTAATGATGAAATCGGTTTACAAACGCAGTTTCGACTACCCAGACTATTCCAGCATCTCGGTAGTTATTTTTCTCATTCAAAAATTACTGTGCCCTCACCACTCTACGTAGCTTGTCAAAACAACGATTTAGCACGTGTAGAGTCATGCCTGAAGAAAATGAAACGTAAAGAAATTGACTTTCAATGTCCACCTAACAATGAAACAGCCCTACACGTAGCAACACGAAAACAGAACAAGGAAATTATTCGAATGCTTCTACTTTACGGTGCACAACGGTCGCTAAGAAATGCAGATGGTCAAGAAGCGTATCAACTAGCCGAAACAAAGGAAATCAAAGATTTATTTAAACGTCAAAACTCATTCCGTTTTGCATTTCTACACAGTGTCTGCAAGACGACTCCCTTATTTCAACAAAAAATAAAATGTGAAAGTTGTTCGCTGGTAAATGATGATACTTTCTATGAATGGGAATTAATTGATCGAAATGCATCACAAAAAGCACTGAGATTTCGTCGTGAACTGAAGCCGTCTACATCAATAAATAAAAAAGTTTTAAAACAAAAACTTTATTCAATAAAGAAAGGTTATATCACTGCACGCTTACAAGATGCTTCTGTAGCAGATGGTGAACGTATAAATGATTATTTTAAGCGTGCACTCTTTCAACAAGATCCTCATTATATTATTACTGCATATACCATCTGTCAAAATTTTTCAGAATTATTAAACAAAGATATGGCACGTAATGTCATACATGATTTGAAGAATGGTTGTAGTAAGTTTTCTTGTGATTGTCTCTATTCAACAGAAGATGGTACTAAATCAATTACAAATATTCTTCTTCACCATTCAACGTTTCAACAATTCAGTTTCAAAGGTGAAGTGTATCGTGGTATTGTCGTGCCTAAAAATATTCTTGATCATTATAAGGTTGGCTCTTGTATTATTACAACAACATTTCTTTCAACATCAAAGAATCCTGCTGTTGCACAAGTTTTTTGTGATAAAGGATCGGTAAATTCAACTGCACATTCATTCTTCTGTATTTATGAAATTCTTGATAACAATCGTACTGCTCTTGATATATCGAAAATATCAGAATTTGAAGATGAAGATGAAGTATTGATCTTACCATACTCAGCTTTTCTTATTACAAAGATTGAAGAAGGGCAAGAAACAACAAAAATTTATTTGAAAGAACAGTGTTTAAAAAACATGTTTGGTAGTGATGAATCACAAGAACATTCAATTAAATCGACTGCATGTCCAATGGAACTTGTCGACAGCAATCTATTGGATAATATGAGTGAAATATTATTGCAAGAGGATGATAATATAAGACCACGCTCAAAGACAACGCCCATATTAGAGACATATTTTTAATTGAGACCTGTAGCTTGATTTAAATATTGATTATGTAAATAGCAATCAAGTCTAACTTGAGTTTATCGTTCTGTTTTTTAATGAAGGGTGTTGGTATTCTTTTGCCTAACATACACACAACTGCAGGTACAGCACCGCTCACGCTTACACACAAGTATTCTTGCTTCGTCGTTTAGATTATAAGCTTTTTTATTATTTTTTCAACGAAGTTATTTGATTTTATGACGACGTACTACCAAAATAAATACATAATGATAAAGGAGTTTCGAAAAAACAAAAATTCTTTTGCTATCTTTATGTAATAGATAGTTCTTGAAGTCTACTGTTTCTTCTTGATTTGTCTACTGTAAAAAAAAATCATTCAAATTGATGAAATTAATTGAACAACGTTAGCCGTGTTGAATAGAATTTATTGAAGAGAAAAGGTATAAATTTAGCTTATCGTATTTAGGTAGAATCCTTTCCAAAAATAGTACAATCTCTTGTATTGATATCAGAATAAGAAGAAAAACTTGTTAGTCACAGTAATAAAGTCTGTGAATTCATGCTATGGAAGAATTCTGTGTGACATTTGACAAATCACTACCGGTTCTTTTTCGATGAGATCCATAAATAAGTATTTTTGCCACCAACACAGCTAATGAACGTCTGAATTCATTCATATAAACTTTCGATGGATAAATATAAATTAGAAATGTCATTGTAAATGGTACATTTGCTAGTGCTATCAGAATAAAATATAGTCGTAGAGTCGTTGTTGGACTAACACGATTACAGGAGTAAATCACATGTTTAAAAAGGTACCATGGTAATATACATAGGATATAACATAGTGGTGGTACAAAAAAATCCATATGTTTCTTCATTTGTTGTCTCCAAACAAACCAATATTCTTGTTCACCTAAATTAATATAGACTTTATGTACACTAATGTTTTTGAGCACAAAGAGACTTGATACAATATGTAGAAGACATGTTATTAGAACAGTACCAAATTCAATACATTTTACAGTTTTTGTTAAAATAGGAATAACTGTTGATGCAGAAAATCCACCAAAATATAATAAGAGTGTAGGTATTTGTGTAAGCAAAACAAATATAAATAAAATAAATGAAAGAAGACAAGCACGTTGCCTTGTCGCATACAAAGCACAATCAAAACATTCTATAAAAAGACGTTCACAAGCAATCATACTTGAATACCACATTGCTGAAAAGTTTAATATATTCAACGCGATAGCTGATATATAAAATAGAACTGTGCGTTGTAACGATTGTGTATCACATAGAAGTGATGTTTCAAGAAATATGCAGCGTATTAGATTGCTGAGTGAGAGAAGTATTAAATAGATACCGAGATTTGTTATACGTATAGATAAACGAAGACATGTTTGAATGGTTAGTAGGTTATTGACAATAGAGAATACAATAATTAATTGAAATAAGAGAATTAATAGATATTCTGTGTTTGGTAAATGTGGAGTTAAATTGTAGTATCTTGACTGCTGTAAAATATCTGTACATGGTGTAGGAGTTCCAAGTTTAATGGTTGACATAGTCATTTCTACTTCGTCCTTGATATATGTATATACTTATTCACCAAGGAAGTGGAAAATTGCGTAGTACTATTCTATATAACGATTGAAAGTATAGAAGGTTTTCGTTCTATTAGATTGATGATGACGTAAATGTTTCTTCGTATATTTATTTGCACAACCTTTTTTTTGGTTCTGATATGAAAATGAATGTAGAGGTCAAATAAATATAAAGGAAGTAAAACACGTTTTGATAGTGCTTCTACATATTTTTTTTCTTATAATTGTATCGAAATGTTTGTTGAAATAGTCTTTCATGGACCATAAAACGATCAACTGAGTTAAAATTTCTCTGTCTAGATTGAACATATTCTATCGAATTTTATCGAATCTTCATTTACTCCAACAACTACCGATGATCGGATTCTGGAAGATGAGTGTGAGTATAGACGAGAGGATTTCCTTTGTTAACGACCACATCCACGCCCTTGTTTTCATTATAATGTAACTAAAAGAGGAATGCGTATTCATTACCTTTGGGTTGAGTCAGTTATAAATTATGATAGAATTATGAGGATCAACTTTGATAGAGATTCTGAATTTAAAATTTTTGTATTTTTACATCGAGGTCCCTACCATGAATGATACTGTTGTGTAAAGATTGACAATGCTTGTTCCTAAAAAAATGAAGAAAAGATCATCGAAACACGAATGAATAAGAATTAATACAGAATTTTGATTGAAATTTCGTAAGATTCACTCGCATAAGATTTTCATGAATCTTGTTCAAAAATATAAAATGCGGGTGTGAGTGGTAGCGTCTTCTCTGCAATCACACCCTACTTCAAAATAATTTTTTTATCTAGCTTAGTCTGAATCATCAGGTTGAAACAGATTTTTTATCAACATCGGAATTTAAACCACCATCCTTATTTTCATCATATCAATTTATCAATCCTTCGCGTGTACTCGAACAACTTATATTTTTAAAGTCTCATTTATATAACTGCCTATAAATATTATTACTTGGACTCGTTATGGGCAAATTCTAATAAAAGTTTAATACTTGATTTCAATCCCATTCCTCACTCTAGAAGATTTTCTCTAAAGAATTTTCTTTTTTTTTGCACATCTCATATATACACTATAATAAGAGCAAAAAGATTCATTATATATTCTTCATCTTATTCCTTCAGTTTGAACAAGCTGAACTATATGAAAACGTTTGTTAAATACTAATAAACAAAGTATATTCCTAGAATGAAACATTGTTCATCAAGAGGTTCGTCGGAAGAAAGGAGTCTTGGAATACATAGGTCATAAGATATTTCATCTTTTGAAATAATAAATTTCTTACTTTTAACACATTCAATTCCCTTCTTGTCGTTGAAATTTATCAACTTCAAGAACATCATTAGTAATTGACTATTTTCAATGTGAGCTCAAAATTAAATCTCAACTCATGGCCAAGACGTGAAACTTTAGGGTAATAATAAAGATTTGCATGACATCTGAACTCTTTTAATACTTAATTTTTCAAGTAGATGCAGAAGTTTGATGAGAAATGAATCATCTAGTATCATAGGATCTGAACTGTCTTTTTCTGTCGTGTGTTTTGCGATCATTGAAGTCTCTTTGTTTAATGTATGAGTATTAATACAAAGTGAATCATTATTATAGAAAAACACTCACATCAGAGAATATTCGATATACAATTCAATAGAAAAATAATGCAATCAATTCGAAATGATTTGACCTTTTATTAATCGGATTAAATCATACTAATCGATCGACGTGACTCATTCAAGCTATCGATTCAAAACTAAAAAATTCAATATCGATATAACATTCATTATCATCCGTCATATCAACTTTAACAAATGAACTATCCAGTTGATCCAGCAATAGCTTCAACCTCTTTTTATTTTATAGAGCTTCTTTATCTGATGCTTTATTGTGTTCTCATTGTCTCTCATAATGTCGTTATTATGCTGGCAATAGTTGAGTTTCAGGTATTAAGATATAAAAGCCATATCTTTGTTGTGGTGATCAAGAAGAATTTTCCAATAATTTTTTTTTTCTGTCATAGTTATTGCAAGGTTAAGTTTTTTTTTCAGCGGTAACGGTGTTAGTATTTTTCCTAAAGATAATTATTTATTGTTACCTTGATCAACAATAATAGCAAAGAATGTTATATTTCTACTTCATGCATCGAAGAAATTCATTAATCAAATAAATAAAAATTATAAAACAGTAGAAATTCCGACAGTTTGATATTAGAAAGTCTTTTTACCTCTTACTGTTCACAGTACTATGAAAAAACTACCTGTGAACGCCTCGCTAATGTTTCACTTTTGACATGCCGCTCAATGATGGTCAGCTTGCCATGGATATTCAGCAAGTTTGATTTTGTTTACAAAGCGTTAACATCATGAAGAAGTGAAAAACTGATGCAAGTACTGCACAGAGAGAACTATATATACCCTAGTTTGATGTAATCGTTGTTGTCAACGAACGATCTTCAATTTCATCTCCTCTTTCGGGGAATGTTTGAAGAAACATTTTCTCGAGCAGTTATATCAACAGCCTGTTATTTTTTCCTTTGTTGACATAAATGAATTGAAACGAAATGCAGTGTTTTTTTTTCTTTTTAATCATATGTTGTAAAAAATGCAGCGCATGCATCAAAAGCAGCGCTCATTCTCTGTTTACTTTCACTTTCAGGTTGCTGTAGCAATTCTTACTCTCGTTTCTTTTACATCAACTGATTGTTGTTCTTTGTCTGTTGCAAAAAAGAGTATTTCGTTCTTCGAAGCAATTCACTTTTACTTTTCTCTTGGAGCATACATTCAAGAACGAAAATCGTCAAGGTTTAGCCCAAATTACTTATCTGCCCCAATCTACTATTGACACAGTGAGTTATGCCTTTAGATCACTCATTATAGTAGCTATAACTTTTCCTAAGCAGCAGTTCGACGCACGCCCACCATAAATTTTAGCAAGACAACTAATTTCGAATGGATTGTGGGTGACGTAGGACATGTTAGGTTCAGACTCGAGTATTTTCAAGATCGATTCGCCCAGGAAACTGCTCAGATTAATCTAAAATATATTTCAAGTGTAATTTGACGATCTCTATCTACTGGTGGAAAGCCGAACATCATGTAATGCTTCTGAGCTGAGTCGTTAGCGATTTACAGCCCCATCAGGTTCATGGAAGCAGTATGTCTTTTACCGGCACGCCTATAGAAATGTTCCTACTAACCTAAAATATGTGCCAAATGTCATTTGACGAGCTCTATTTATTGGTGAAATCCTGAACATCATACAATAGTCCTATGCAGAGTCATTAACCATTTCCAAGCCAAGTTGGTGTGGATGTTGGTGTAGATGTGAGTGTGGTTTGGATGTCCTGCTCTATTTGCCTACACCGACATCCCACACCCACACCCACACCCTTACTTAGAATCTAAGGTCGAAAATGCAAGTTTACTATTTACTTGGTGCATAGACCTAGAAATAGAGACACAGAAAAATTGAAATTAAGCTTTTAATTTCTTTGTTTTATATCAGTAAGTGAACCATTCGGCAACAAAACACGCAAATCATCAATTCGCAACAATGAGCAGCTCGGGAGAACGATTCACAGATGTTGATCTCTCAAACAAGCGTTTGCCAGCATGTTATGGCTACATTACATGGAAAACACTACCTCTCGAGCAAGCTATGGGAGATCTACGAGATTTTCTTCCTGAAATCAATCGATTTGTTAAATTGGCCAAGAAACATTGTACATTTCCAAATGACGATAATTTAACCAAAGACGAAGCTGCTACTGTTTATCTTTATACCATGGAAATGTCAGACGACGCATGCGTCTATCGTATATTAAATCAAACACTCCGTGCCGAAGATCGATCCAAAGTTCGTCCATGGTTTGGATATTTAAAACTTCTAGATTCTGCGACATCGAAATTACCCAAAGTTAAAGGTATTGTCTGGCGTGGTCTTGATAAAGATGTTAGCCAGGCATTCAAGAAAGGTCAAAAAATAACTTGGTGGAGTATAAGCTCGTGCTCGACATCTGTTGATGTCATTTCTTCATTTATTGGTAAAACTCCCCAAAGTACATTGTTTAATATTGAATGTTCGACTGGAAAATCCATTGCAGCATACACATGTTACCCGCACGAAAATGAAGTCATTTTAATGCCGGGCACAACGTTTGAAGTTGTATCGGACCCGTTACATCATCATGGCGGGTTACATGTTGTACATTTGAAAGAAATCAATGACGATGATGATGACGATGATAATGATGATGAACGACAAGAAGCGAGGGGATTTGCAACTGCAACGGCTTCGACTAACATTTCCGTAACGCAGAAAATTAGCAAAATGAGCTTAGGTAAGAAATAGTATCTGAATTTAGCGGTCCCATACTCGGTTAAGACGATTGGCTATATCTTTCTGAGCATCTCATCGCCTTTACGAGTCTTCTTGTAAGTGGTACGATAAGGAACTCTGAAAACTAAAGTAGAGTTTGATGTCGGACAGGGAAGGTCAGCTTTTCGAGTGTAAGTGTGGGTGTGCGTGTGGATAAAGAAAAGACCTACATTCACATCCATACTCATACTTACCAAAATCGGAATCTCTGGATAGTTTTTGAAAAAAATGATCCATGTCCGAAAATTCGAAAATCTATTTTGGTTTCCAAACATTCAGAAACCTATGTTGGTGGGTTTTCGAGAAAACGAATTGTTTTTAGAGTGTAGGACCATCTCCAGCACACATAGCAATATTTGATTTGAATGCTGCTTTGCGTTATAAATGCGTGGCAAATCTAAGATTGACCGTGGAGTTATGTGATCTTGTTTTCTCGATCCATATTCAATTCTGAAGAGGACCATCACTGGGAAGAAACGCAATAGCTCATATAATTGTTAGCACAAATTCGCACAGTTAATGATAATACTGTTTTCTCTTCATTTAGAATCTCCTAAACCAAGTCAGGCTACAGGCAGTGCTGCTGCTGTGCCGAAGAGTAAATGGGCGCCATATCAACAATCATCGAAACCGCAAACTGCAATAGAATCTGGTATGTTCTTGTGAATAAGGCAATACTCTTTCGTAAGAAATAACTCGATGGGTCCTATAATTCAAGTACTGCTTTATGTTGTATTATCTCTGTCTATTAAATGACCAATTGAGACCAACATAAAAGACTACTATCTTGCTGCCAGAACACACCATTTTCTTCTGGAACGATCTCTGGTGGTATAATGAACGGCGCGTTGATTCCGATTTTTAGTCGATACAGTGTAGGACCAAATATTCATCCCGTCCATCATTTTCTGATACACTTTTTAAGCTGAAGTGCCGAGGATGTTGTTGCACGTTTCCACAAAACGGTGGAGCTCTGAACAGCCTGTCGTTTTGTCAATTGTGATCAGGGCTAGAGATTATTTTGCATAAAAACAATTTATATGCTCCTAACGGCATACTTGGTGAGTTAACTAATTATTCCTATCGATCGACTAGGTCTGGACAAGTGTCAGCGAAATTCGTCACTCTCACACTTCGTGAGGACAAATTGTGACGATTTGTGCTTATCATTGTATACTTATTGGAATCTAAGAGCAGTTTAAGGAACACTACACGCATCTTAAAAATATCTTAGCTTATTGATATAATATAGGATGTCTTATAGATATATCCATGATATAAAAAACAAACAGCTTTACTCTATCATAATCAAACCCGGCTAGCTTGCTTTTCTGTGATTGAAAACATTTCAAAATCTATTATCATATAAGAGCCGATAGTAGATAATGTTTTTTAAGATAACTATTGGCTGATGATCATACGCGGAACGAAATTTGGTTCAGATATAGTGTCATCATCTCACATATAGACTCTATTCACCGTTCTTGTACGTTACCAACTAGGGTGAATGTGTTGTCGATATCTACTTGATTTGGAAGTAGTCAAGAATTCATGGCCAGCTCGATATTGAACATTCCATACTTGTAGTTTCCTATCCCATGGCCACTCACAAGCCCTCATTGCTTGTCATCTGCTTTTTACCTACTCGAATTTCATTTGAATTACCTCTCAACTCCACCAAATAGTGGCTTCTTCTTCAAAAGAGTACTCATAATTGGAGTATCGGTATCGTAGTTGTTGTTCGTCTGGAGTGTATTTTGGGTGTTGTTACATGTCTTCTGTTCGTGAACACCCACATCCAGACTGATATCAATATTAATATCAATTTCTACTCACATCTAAATTCACACTTCACAGCCACATTCATCCAAATACACGCCCACACCTACAGGCATCCGAATTGCCTACTGATACGACACGTACATAAATCGTGCCATAAGACAAATATATTATAAGTATTATTCAGGTGTCCACTCTCTTTCGTTCTGTCCACATAAATTATTAACTACAATTATATCTGTTCTTGCGTTCTGTCAGGTATTTTCCTTGGCACGTTCTCTTGTTTTTTTTTGTTTTCTATCTTCTTTGCTTCAATATAATATCTCATGTATTTTTCGTATTGCATTATGTTATCTACTGCTATATTGAACCTTTTCTCCAATACCCGATACATATAACTGTTGGTTCTATGTGCATAGTATCAACACCATAAGCGATAACACGCACCACACACCGCCATCTCTACATTCACACCCTTGAGTGACCCTGGTGAGAAACGCTGCTGGTAAAAATTCGAGTTCGATATATCAAATCAGAGCATATTTTGAGCTCAGTTATAGTCCATTTTATGATTTTAAGGCGAACCGTCATAACTTCACCATTGCCAGAGGGTACAGAGCTTGGAATGATCTGAAATCAAAGCCAATATGTATGCGCAGTTTATCATTGAACAGAATTTTGAAATTCATTTCCACTCATTTTTAATGATCATTTTAGTATATATATATTGTTGAAATAAGCAAAGAAAATGTCACTCCATGAGACTAAATTGAGCTTTTCTCAACACAGAAAGCATCTTTACAAATGTTTGAGCGAACACAAGTTTAATCTGCTTTAGATCTTATGGAAATGCATTATTTATAGTTTGAACTTAGTGGAAGTTATTTCAAATATGTTTGACTAAAACTCATGTTCTCAGAGAAACAGTAAATAAGTTACAGATGAATTTTTTCCTTCGAATTCAGAAAAGATTGATAGATTCGTAACTTGTTTCAGTGGAATCTTTTGAAAGCACGCAACAGCTGATATAAGTTAGCAGCATGAGATATGCTAAAAATATAACAATATTCATTCAATACTAATTCAATTAAAAACGCAATCTTTCAAAACATTACAAAAAAAACACGAAAGAGCCCCGTTTAGCTGTTCTTTGCACTTCTTAGATTCTTTTTGTTTCTCGACTTTTTCAAGTTTTTTTTTGGAGTCATCGCATTGCTTTCGTATCCGAAGTTTCTAGAACTTGTACAAGTCGATGGATTTCTTGACGTTTGTCGATAAGCAAATTATGTTACTTCAAGGTATGTTAGTTCGCTGCATTGAACGTGATCGGAAGTGTTATTTGCTATATTGAATATCAAGTTTTTCGAAATTAGTAGCACTCTTCCAATGAA